TGATCTGACCAAAATGTATTTAAATAATAATAATAAACAAAAACAAACTTTCAGAGTATTTAATGAAACAAAACGGAGGAAAAGTTTCACAAAAAATAATAAAAAACCAGATTATAAAAGGAATATTTTCCTGTTCTCTGCTCCAACATCAGTTTCTGGATAAACAGAAATAAATTAAAAGCTTCAATAAAAAAAGTTTAAACTTTTCCTCATGTTGCTGAAAAACTGCAGTGAATCATCATAAAATAGATCAGTGTCGTCTGCATAGAGTCTTATTTTACAGGTTTACACCTTTACACACATAAACCAAATAAAGTTTTTAAACTTCTGAGTCTTTCTACAGATTTTTACCCTCCAGTGTTTTTATTTATCTTTAGTTTTCCTGCTGTAAAGCTGTTATTTATGGTTTGTTTCCCTCTCCTCTTCAGGTTTTGTCAGTTTTCAGTCTCYTTTATCGCGGTGTAAAGAGCCTGAGGTTTTGCTGCAGATCCATCCTGGCAGGAGGTTGATGGTTCTATACCGGGGCGGTGGCGTTGGCCCACGGGGGGAACTCATCCAGAGCAAACAGGACCCGCCCCCAGCTGTTGATGGCCAGAGTGATGCAGCCAATCCCGATGACGTTCATCACCACGCCGGTTTTAGCCTGCAGGGGGCGCCGGGCAGCAGAGGAGCAGGTTAGCATCTCACATCTGGATGATTCTTTTCAGAGAGGCGGAGRCACAACTCACCATGTCCGACACTTTCAGGAACCCGGAGGAGAAGACGATGGCGTTGGGGGGCGTGGCCACAGGAAGCATGAAGGCGAAGGAGGCGCTGAGGGTGCAGGGGATCATGACGTACAGTGGGTTCATGCCTATAGACTGAGACTGGGTCAGAACACAGACAGGAAGTGACGACTTTACCACAGCAGTCAAAATAAAAACAACTAATAAATAATAAGTGAATAAAATGGACCATTTCATGAGTTTAAACAGGCTCCGCCCCCTTTTTCATTTATGTTCATGTTAAAGTTTGTTACCATGGAGGCGAGGATGGGCAAGAAGAGCGTCGCTGTGGCCACGTTGCTGGCACACTCAGTGAAGGTGGCGATGAGGAGGCAGAGGATGACGGCGATGGCCCACGGAGGGATGGAGTGCAGCGGCGCCATCTGAGCGCCGATCCACCGGGACAAACCGGACTCCTGACGTGAAAACAGGAAGATCACGGTTATAAATGTTCAGACGAACATCAAATATTTTCATCATAACAGTGAAGGTTCACCTCGCTGCCTTTGGCCAGAGCGAACCCTCCCCCCAGGAGGAGCACGATGTTCCAGGGCATCTTCTTCTGAGTCACCTGCCAGGTGAGCAGGGGAGGGGCGGAGCCTCGGGACCCGGGGCTCTCTGATGGAAAAAATCCCAGTTTTAATTTCCTGTCGACTCTGTTGTTTCTCTGCTGGAGGTGACGGAGTTACCTGTGTCGAAGCTCCTCCAGAAGCACAGGTATCGCGGCGGCTCAGAGGGAAGAACGAACAACAAAACGGCAACAAACAGCGAGACGGTGGCATCGGTGACAAACCTGCACACAAACAAACACACAAACAAACACACAAACAAACACACAAACAATCACACAAACAAACACACAAACAAACACACAAACAAACACACAAACAAACAAACTTTTAGATTTCCAACAGATTCCACTTAAAGTCAACTGGACACAAACAAAACGCCCCCTGGTGGTTTTGTACCAGTAAGTGATAAGCCCCGCCCCCTCACTTAAACATACGGGATTTTTTCCCGACTCTTATTGTAAATTTAAATATTTAATTTTCTAACATCTAACTGTAATTAGTAATTCAGGTTAAAAAGATCACATGACACCATGATTGTGTGCAGGAGAGTGGGCGGGGCTTAAAAACCTCATATTTTAATTGACTCTGGCTCCAAAATTCAACATGGCAGCTATYATTCCAGATGTTTGGCTAAACTTTTTACCAGCATCAGTCGATAAAACGTCCAGCTTGAGATAAACGGTTTCATCATCAGAACCACAGATTGTTCTGCTCCTGAAAAGTTTCCTGACGGTTTCCTGTACCTGCTGAAGGCTCTCCTGAGGAAGTCTGGGCCGTGGGGGGTTCCAGAACCTCTGTTGAAATAAACCCAACAACCTGAACTGGACCCTGAACCGGACTGAACGATTTCCACATCCTCCCTGTGGACTCAACTGGTCTGTTTGACCTTTTCCTGGTTCCTGTGAGGAAACAGTTCAACTCTGATGGTTCAGCCACAGACTGATGTTCAGGTTTGGTTCTGACCCGGTAAAGAAAACCCTTTCCTGATTATTTTTGTCCAGAAGGAAAACTTCTTGTTTTTGAGTTTAAATCAAACAAGACTTTAGTCAGATATGAAGAAAATGTTACAAAAACAGAAATAATCACAGAAAAAAACTAAAGTAACGGATTAGT